TCTTGGAAGTTAATTTCCCAGCAAGATTTGATAACTCCAGAAAGTTAATTGCTTAATATACATATTTTTAAAGTCCTATGAGAGCATAAAGCTCCATCTGTAAAGTCTGTACTGTGACAGTAATGACAGTCACAAATACTAGGGCTACAAATGTGCCTGTGGGGCATGTTCAAGCACCTACATGTTTGTTTCCCCACATGAATACAGTGTAGAGACACTGTAATAAGGAAAAACCCAAAATGGTAAGGTGACGATTCCAAATGATAGAATTCATGGAAGGCTGAACCGTGGACCCCAGTTTGTAATGGACTAATAAGATAGTACAAGATACAAAAATTCATTTTGATACTGTGAAATAGGATGCAAATGAAAAAAAAAAAAGACAAAAAGACATCAGATTGAGAAATATGAGGCACCACAACATACTTCTCATGCTGAGGATTACACAGCAGTGAGAAACTGAGAAACACTGATGTGCATTTTCTGCTCACATCACCCCATACAGCGGGCTGGGACTGACACTAGATGTGAAGACTCAGTGCCTGAGAGATCAACAGCAGGTCCCTTCTGTACTGACTGATCTTAAAAACTTGGCTGCCTTATTCTAGAAGCTCTATTCTAAACTCAGAGTTCAGAAAAGCTGGGCCAGCCACTAAGTAAAGTTGGACCTTTGGTCTTCGAAGATATGCTTTTGTCTTTGGTTGTTTTTTTTGGAGCCCCTGTCATTTTGTTTGATGCCTTTTACACTTTTCTCCCCATCTGTTTGTTAGTTGCAAAGTTTTTTCCTCCTGTAATCAAATCAGCTAACAACCCACTGCACTTAACTTATTAGGTATAATATCTATTAGAAGTGCATTCAGTGGTCAAGAATATTCTGAGACAATATAATTGAGCCGTCTTTTCATTATGGAGTTCCCAATACCATTACATAGGGAAGAAATCAGAAAACCCTCAGCAACACAACACAATCTAGTAGCATAAAGCAACACAGCAGAAGAAAGGTAACTTTCCCCATGTGATCATCTCCGAAAATCAGAACTAGCAAAAACATAAGGGGCCAAAAAGAAGTTCTGAGCACAAACCATTGGGAGTTAGAGAATGAGGAAAATTTACTGTTTCAAATCACCAGCCCCCAAAGCTGTCCTTATCCTCACATTCCTATATTGTCCTATATTGTTACATAATTGTACCTAATACAATTTATGGAAAAGTCCTGACCTGATTATCAACATGGTAAATAAAGAGGATGTTCACATTTTCTACTGGAAGGTAGAATAATCCATGAGACACATTCTACCTGCCCAGTTATCCCCCAAACCTTCTTTTCAAATGCTTACTTTTTCTCACATGGAATGATTTAACACATACTCCTCAAACAACAACTAATTCAAATTATATTCCTAGCTGATGGGATAGGTTGATCAGATTCATACACAAAGGTCAGAACATTCTCTTTAAGTCATACACTTCTATGACAAAAGGGCAGACATATCATATTTAGATACTTATACTGGACTTAGGCCCTTTTCCACCTGATATGGAAATTCCTCCCAGTGGTGTCTCCATTCACTACTGTGGAAGGTTAATTAAAGCTCTTCTGGAGGTGTGGGATGGGGTGGTGTAGGGAGCTGACTTTCTTCCTTTTTTCAACAGCCATTTCTGAAATTTCCACTTTCTTTAGCCTGAAAATGTAGGCAATGGTTTGATGACTGACTATAAATAATAACCCAATATAATCAAATCGTAAAAGAACTTTAAACTCCTTTAAGGATTTCTGCTTGCTTTTTCAAGGTCCCAAAAAGCCTTCCATGTAGATGCAGCACCCCTACCTAATAGTAAGGGGCAGAAGTGAAGAAATCCACACACTTCCCTAAAAAAGGATGAAGGGGTGGGTATGAGAAATGGAGGCATAGTTCCATTGGCAGAGTGGTCCAGAGTGGCTCTAGTGGGCGACTGGAAAACACTCAAAACAAGAAACACCTCTCTGATTTATTAGGAAGAAAAAAACACCCTTTGAATTTTTACCCCCAGCATCTGCTCCTCCAACTTTCCACTGAAAGTTTTCTTTTTGTTAACTGTAGACTACGCTTCAGTTTGCTAACTTAGCATCATCTACAACTGTTCTTGGTCACGATGACAGATGTATTTTAAGACAGTGATACACTGATAACACTATGTCACATAATGTCACATCTGAACTACAATAAAAAATAATCAAGCGTTTGCGTAGATGGATAATTACAAGGATTCCCTATTCACTTCTTCTTGGATTTTTAAAATCCATTTCAAATAATTTGGTACCTTGCCAAAAATTCCCGAGGACACACACACCCTCACATCTCCAAGGAGAGAAATCTTACTGTTGTGAAGATTCAGTGTTGACCATCTTATTTTGTTCATTCAGACTAGTATGGTTTCTAATTCCAAACTTGGTACTAAATTATACAAAGTCTTTAAGTTATAACAATGATTCCAAGCAGAGTAAGTATCATCTTAAAAATATCTTTAGTAGTGGCCTAATCACTTATTTCAAAAAACATTATCAAAACAACTATAGAACAGTCTTTTGACTTGTGTTCATTAAGCCCCTGAGGGGCTAGAGGGCTGGGGGAAGGCAGTCATAGAGCCCTGAAATACTAGAAGCATTTCAAATGTCCATAAATGTGCTATGTGCATTTGGGAGAAAGACAGCCTACAGCTTTCACAAGCTCAAAGGGACCCAGGGCGCCTCCAAGGAACCTGCTTTTGATTATCAAATTTTAAATTCAGGTCTTAGCAAGTAAAAGTGAAAAATTTCAGAAATATATGAAAATTACAATGTTTGCATGTTCAACTAATCTTGACTAGATTGGGAATAAAAGCTTTATTATTCTGAGCTCCCTGATCTGAAGAAAATCATTTAAGTTGTAAAACTGAATATCAAAACTGAAGAAAAGCCTAATATTTGGATCCCTAACATCACTTCATATCTTTTTCACAAATTTACTAATAACTTTCTTTAGAAAATAGCAAATTTAAGTACTGTCCATGTAATTTACAAACCTGGTGATTGTTCATGCAATATCGAAACTAAATCATCATTTGTCTTTTTTACACATATAAACATCAAGATGGGATGGAAGAAAGGGCAGTATAGAATTTCTATAGAAAAGAAAAGTTTTGCACAGATATTCACAAGTTTAAAAACTCTGCATTGAAATTTTCCATAAGAAAGATATTTTCAAAGACTTAAATCTTGGATTAAAATCATCTCCTCAAAACATGGAGTATAAGAATTTGGCTCAAATTTATGAAATTTCAATGGAAAAAGTGTGCTACTTAGAATTTGTTAGTGTATATAACTAGCTTTTGTTTTTTAAGTTTGCTATCTTTAGATTTTCTCTTGGTACACTCAAGGGTCCTGCTTTTTCAAAATTTGAGGTACGTGCCACTAAACAAACATTATTTAATTCCAAAAGCAGCCACTGTATATGAACAGTGCCTGCTTTTCAAAAGGGTTAACATGTACTCCTTAGTATGCAGATACATGAATATGCATTTAAAGCAAAAGGCATTCTATGCTGTGAATAGAATACATAAATCTCTACTTTATGCACTGACTTGCGAACCCACAATGTTCTAATATATATTCACAGACCACTTCTTAACAACTCGAGGCAAGCCATTATGGTGCATTCTTATTTGTCCAATGGAATGTATGAAAAGAATACAGAAATTAACTGTGCCAGATGCACAGATAAGCCACAGATTTTTTTTTTTTTTTTTTTAAGTAGCAGTAGAAAAGCAGTGGAGAATTTATTTATTGAAAGGTGAACACTTACAGACCCTTCTGAAGGAAACTTCTCAGAGGCTATGTTAAGGCTATTGGGAAATCCAATTTAAATGAGAAGGCTACTGACCAAAACTAAAGTAAAATGTTCAAGTCACCATTACTGGCAGCTCTCGTTTTAGAACTGACCTCAGAATTCTCCTCTGTAGGCTGGAGGACCTCTTGAAATGGCCTTTAGTAGCTAATAGATAGTTCATGGTAGAAATTGTTGAAGCCTCAGGGGCACTGATGTGGCCTTGCAAATATTTGGTGCGTGCAGTTCCTGTAGCTGATTTAAGGAAGAGGGAGGGAGAAGTATTACTCTGGTTTAAAGCAGCTCAGGATTAGCTCCTCACCACCTCCTACTGGGGTGAAATCCTAAGACTGCATTAGGAAGGCAAGGGAGCCCTTGGTAGACAGCAAGGTCAGTGTTATCGGGAAGAGCTTACAATCAGCTTTTTAATGCCCTTCACTGGAAAAAAAAAAAAAAAAAGAACAAGAGCAACGGAGCATCTCTACAAAGGAAAAACTTATTTCCAGCATAATTTAGAAATCGACTTAATAAGTGCTTCCTCCTTAACCATTATGGAAAAAGTTTGGGACCCACACACAGTTAAGCTACTTAAGTTGCAGTGACTGAGGACTTAATTATCCTATAGGATAGAATCAAAGCATTAATCCTAAGCATTAACCATTGCATTAAATGGTTTAAAAGATCAACTGGCCTGGAGCTCTGCTCATCCATGTGAGGGTTAACAATCTCAAGTGTCCTAGCTACATTGCTAATGTTTTGTTACTATTGCATTGGTAAACCTCTCACAGAAGACAGGTCTCTTTATATTTTCATTAAAATATAACTTTTCTCTTCCATATTACATTATGACAGAGCTTGTTCTTGAGGCAGGAGCCTAGAAGGTCTAAATTATGTACCAGAGCCTTAATTGTCTCATATTTTCATTAAAATATAACTTTTCTCTTCCATATTACATTATGACGGAGCTTGTTCTTGAGGCAGGAGCCTAGAAGGTCTAAATTATGTACCAGAGCCTTAATTGTCTGATGGTAGAAACCATAATGACACTATGGTCACCACCACCATTTATAACAGAGGACCCTAACTATAACTCTAAGACATATGAGTCCTGAACACAGTTGTGAAGATCCACCACAGAAAAAGACAAAAACCACAACATAGAATCAATGGTTTATAAAATTATTCAGGTATCCACATTTCACAGATAATTTTTGTTCTTCATCTATTCTTCTCACTTGGGCAGAAGATGGAAGCAGCGAGTGAATAGCAATAAGGCAGCCCGTAGCTAGCTGAAGAATGACTTGCAATGAGTGAAAGAGGCAGCAGGAACATCCAAACATAATCTCAAAACAATTAAAGGTTGCTAAAAAGCCTCTGTGAAGCTTTATCAAATTAATCAAGGAATGAAGCTCATATGAGAGTGATACTCCATATATCATATAACTTCTTGTGTATGCCTGTGTAATATATATGCATGTTTGCATATATCTACATGGCACACAAATTTACTTAGGGAAAAACAGCGTGGCAATTAATCTGAACTCAAATGACATGGTTACACATAGAGCATAATTTCTAAACACAATGTTAGTAAAACAAAATTTATTTGTAAAACAGGACCTGTTATATAAAATGGCACACAATCAAGTTATACAAAAATACAAAATTTCTTTCCAATTACAGTTCTAGTTGCAAATGATAATTAGAAAGCATTCCTGGTGACTTCCAAATAGCTGAGATTGCGAGCATATGGAACAGGGAGCAGCAAGAGTCCATGATGCAGAGATGTCCAAGTGAGTAGAACCTAATTTCCAAGTTCAAGATTTCCATCAGGTCACTTTGGAGGGACACCTCCTAAAATGGCTAGCTCCTGGAATGTCTTCTGTTTTGATACCCATCTTCCAGACTTTTGCCAATTCTAAATTTAGTTCTTAATGTTTCTGAATGTCCAAAATCTGTGTGGCCATGAAATAGATAGTATTCAGAATTGTCTTACATGATTTGCTCTCTCACCTATTTGGACAATTGTTAGTTACATAATTATATTTATCCCATTCCAAATGATATAAAAGAGTACAGTGATACTGTTTGGCTACACTAGATGTTAGATGTTAACTTCTGGAGAATTATTGTTTCAAACTTTCACAATGTTGGTTTCCTAGATCTTGCTATAACATGAGCTCTTAATTGTGTTTTTTAAAAAATCCAGACTCTTATTGCAAATATTCTGAAAAATCAGAAATATTACATGAGCTTTGAAAAGAAACCAAGGCATTAAGCAAATTTTAGCCTAGCTAAAGAACACCGATACTGATACTTAAAAAAAAATACAATTTACCTTTTGCAGCAATATAAAGGTCCAACCCTTTGAAAGGAAGCACATTAGCAAACAGCTGCTTATTAAGCCCTAGTGACATTAATTGTATGCATTTCCATAATACCGGTCTAATTCACTGTCAATTCTGGTAGGAGGCAATGCTTTCTTTCAAAAGATTCTCCTCCCATGGAATGATAAAATGCTGAGGCTTTTTTTTTTTTTTTTTTTTTTTGTACAGAGCCTGTATTTAGTGCAATAAGTTTAAAAAATCTGCTCTGAAATATTTACTTTACATTAACAAAAATAGCTTTTTTTAAAAAAATTGTAACAAAAAGGAGTTATCGCATAAACAGATCATGAATTATTCTTAGCAAATTACACTTTTTTTCTTAAAGCATTCACCATTACAATAAGCAGAACAATGGAATATTAGCCATTCATATCTGGTAAGCTTCAGGAATAAAAAAAACCCAAAAAGCCCCAAACCCACCCCCAAACAAAAAGAATGTTCACACTTCAGGATCAAAACATTAACCAATTCTTCAGTTGAATATTGTAGAACTCTGGATATTCAATGAATTGCCAAGGAGAGGAGCACCTGCCAGTGTGTTTTCAGATTTTATAGCAAGCATTTGAATAAAATGGCCATTTAACCTTAAGCCACTGACGTTCCTCTGAAGCAGAAGCCCAAGCACCAAAATTAATCATCAAAGCTTTATGTTCCATGTTTCTGTCCCTTTTTTATTCCTCCCAGCATTACTTAATCAGCAAATCAATACAGAGAAACTTAAAGGCTAAACTTGCTGGGTACCCCAGCTTCCTTTCAAATCAGGCACACAAATGTGTGGTAGATGCTACTAAAGTCAAAAAGGAAAAAAAACACACACGCACACACACAGAATATAAGAAAAAAGTTTGCATAAGAAAGATTATCTACCCTTTTCTTTTTTACCTACTTTCTTTTATAGAAGCTTTAGGGTAAACTACAAATACCTGAGGAGTTGGTTACTTTATAATGTTGGCTGACAAATGTATGAGCTCTTACGAAAATCCCCACATCGGGCCCACTTGTATGTTTCTAAAAGTAAAATGACATGGCTTCTTTGATTGGGGGAAATTGACTGGAGTAATTCCTTATTTATCTGAGAGCATATGCCTAGTCTTGATCCACTAGGACTTATGCATCCATAAAATAAGATCTTGATTCTATACACACAACAGGGAAATCACCCCTGAATAAACTTTAGACAGAGAATTTGGTACAATAATTTTACCTAATTTAAACAACTAAAGTTAAAATCTTTAAGTTATTAAAAATGTTAATCAGATATGAATCTTAACATTTCCATTAAGACAATTACAATTGAAAACATCAGATGACGGAAGTTGCCTTGTAAAAGCCACCCGTATGAAAGGAGTACATGTTTGACAAAAATAAGCATAAAAAAGGTATTAAATCCCTGTTCCTTTTCTCTGATTTTGGCTGATTATGTGTGTGTGTGTATATATACATATATATACACACAAACATATACATATATACACACACCCACACATACAAATACATAGTTATGTGTATATATTGTTTTGGAATGTCAATGGGTTCCATAACCGTCGGCTAGGTTCAAGCAGAACTTGCTCCCGAAGCCTAGAAAACAAAGTCATACAGAGTATAATCTTAGACAATTACCATTAAAAGAAGATCATGAATGATGTTACAAATATGCACATTGTCACAAACAGCAACAGGGCAGAATGGATTGAGAATCCTTCTTTCCTGAATCTATATCCTGAGCTGATATTTCTGTGAATGTAGAAAGTCACACTTCCTTCAGGATCATGTCTGAGACACTCAGAACATAATTCTCTAGCCTGTGTTCCTAGAATGCCTAAGTTTTCCCTCCCTTCTCTCTGTAAATTCTTTCCTGTATGACAGCACGCAGTTAGCCAGAAAATCTCTTTCCTAAACCTCTTCATCACATTTGGTAAATTTTTCTAAAACCACTTTCAAAGAATTGTAGAAGGACTTCATAATCTCTAAAGTTTCCTTAACTAGTGAGGTTCTCTCGAGAAAAAAATCCAAGAAGAAAAGCAGAAATTTTCATGTTTAGTTCAGTGATCCCCTGTCAAAAGGAATTTTTTTTTTTTTTTTTATAAAGATGACCGGTAAGGGGATCTCAACCCTTGGTTTGGTGTTGTCAGCACCACGCTCAGCCAGTGAGCGAACCGGCCATCCCTATATGGGATCCGAACCCGGGGCCTTGGTGTTATCAGCACCGCACTCTCCCGAGTGAGCCACGGGCCAGCCCAAAAGGAAAATTTTAAACTTCATTTTCCTGAACATTATTTGACAGGCTAAAAATAAGCCCTAAGTAAAAATATCCCATTAAGGAGGAAGAGAGACAGTGAACTGAAATAGCAGCAGTGTTTCTGGAGATGTTGTAAAATAGACATGATACTCTTTACTGAACTGTCATCTAAGGGAATAATATGTAAATTAAACCAAGCAAATACAAATAAGCAATTCTAAATTGTACCAATCACCAAACCTTTGGGGGGAATTTCTTACATAATTCTTTAGGGACACATGAGAGATGGTGGTGGTAGAGGTCAACTCTAACCATGCAATCTGTGAAAGAGATGATAAAGATAAGGTGCTGGCATGCTTAAAAAATAAAACTACTCTGAGCAATGTTTCACACTTCTCTTTTGGGGAGTTTTTAACGATTTAGAACATCATTCTTAGGCACCAAATGCTACAATGTCCAAAGCACCAGAAAAATGTATATTAAAAAAATGTATTTGGGGCCGGCCCGGTGGCGCACTGCTACAGTGCGCCACTTGGGAGCGCGGCGGCGCTGCAATGAACTGATGAACAACATAAAATAGAAGCAAAAATTGAATGAAAATTTGAATGCATTGTTTGAGGTAAGAGACATTAGTTTAAAAACAGAAGTAGTATTAAGAAAAAATTCTAAAATTTTTGGCTTCCGATAGAATGCCACATAACCTATGCAATTCTCCTAGGATTATTACTTATAAATTAGGGGTTTACGAGAGGTAGGTATACTGCTTGCTGGTCTATGACAATTCATCTGCATTTTAAAGAATATGGAAATATATGCCAACTCAGGGCCAAATCAGCTAGTCCTCAACCTCCAAATATTTCTCCCTTTCTTTAAATGCTTAATACTGAAGAATTATTTAACGGAAGCTTCAATTACTGGAAAAACAGAAAAGGGGGGAAGCTGGTTTACATTTTAAGGTTTTATGTTCAAGTTTTATGCTTGGAGTCCTTATTTCCTGAACCATTAGGACAACCGAGCAGTAGGAGAAAGGAAGCTTTCCTCATTTCTCCATGTCACCATGGAATTGGCAGAATCTGCACTGCTGTCTGCCTCAGGCTGTGTGAAGTAAGAGGGATACAGAAAAAAGTGCAGTGAGTGGGTAAGGAACCTGACTGGATAGATTGTGGATTAGCTCCCCTTTACCGACTCAATCCACTTCTAGGTGATACACACTTAAAATTAAGAGCTATGTGGATATTCTACGTTCTTTTACTTGATCTGTGCTTTGGGACTCTAATCATTCCTGCTATTAAGAGCAACACCAAAATGGGCACTAGAAGGGGTTACAGTGGAAAAGAGTTTATGTCTAAACATTTTGCTGAGGCTTTAATTTAGGTTGAATATGCAATTGTTTTGCATGTACACATGGCTTCCCTGCCCCTCTTCCCCAAATAAACCTATTTGCTTTACTCTTACATACTTAAACAAGCTTGTTTTATACCATGTATTTCTTAAGTTGAAGACTTACAAATCAAACCATTTATTAAAGTATAAGAAGAAAGGAAAGTCTTCACCTCACACTTTTGGACATTATATGCAATCAGCTGGCACATGGTTTAAAATTAACTGTTTGTATTTCTTAAGTTGAAGACTTACAAATCAAACCATTTATTAAAGTATAAGAAGAAAGGAAAGTCCTCACCTCACACTTTTGGACATTATATGCAATCAGCTGGCACATGGTTTAAAATTAACTGTTTAAGGATATAGGTGATTATATATTTTTAAACAAACACGCTATTTAAAAAACAATACATTTGTAAAATAAGGAAGTAATTAGACCAATATATGCTGGACACATCTGTTGTTATGCCACAGTGAGAATATCTATAGGAAAAGCAACTCAGGATTCTTTTATACTGATTAAAGTTGCTTTTTCCAAATAAATGTGGAGTAGAAAAAATATATATATATATCACTGACCAGAGATAATTTATCCTTCTCACAATTAAGCTGGTAGAAGACTAGGTTGTCTTATTAAGTGGGAATGTGGGTGTTGATGGAAATAGCCTTGTTTGCTACTGGAAAATAGCTTAAGAAACAAAGAAAGTACAACCCAGGCAACAAAAGAAAAAGTTAGCAAAGGGGCAAAGACAGCAACATAAACAGAACGCATTTAAAAAAAGGGGCGGAATATGAATTTTAGCAAGTTGAAAGGAATTGCTATTATTACCTCCCAAAATGATAAAAATCAAACCATCACTACAAGTGTATTCCCAAGTGTTCAGTCTGATGAAAACTAAACACTGACAATGAAAAGAAAACCAGAGAAACAAGAGTTTCAGCTTAGGGACAGGACTATCATCCCCATGAGCACTGATGAAGATGCTGTTCCTTTCAGCTTACTTTTACAGAAGGTGGTCTCAGTTGTGACAAGAATTCTGCCATCCAAGTGATGGGTAAGCACACAAACAGGAAGAGCAGTATGTCCTGCGTGATACAGATAACGAAAGCTTCTCCCGAAGAAGTGCAGTCAGTGAAGAGAGAGAGAGATAGGAAGTGAAAGTGAAATTCTTGGAGGGCGGCCCCCTCCTCAACTCCACCTACCATCGGTTTTAGCTCTCTGGCATCAGCAACGCCTCCCTTACCAGCTTCTTTCATTGCTTTCCTACTGTTTTCCACAAACTCCTGCAAAATATGGACCATATTGCATAAATTCTTGAGTCTTTTCAGATTTCAGTTGGTAGATGAATACTACAGAACAGTTATTTTTGAATCAATCTTGGTACATAAATGGCCTAAAAACATAGCAATAAATAATATTTAATATCACCCACGAGAGTTGCTATATTTGTGGAGAAGGACAGCAATCTACTGATACAAAAATCTTGTTTTTATCCATTCATTATGACAACCTCACTAGGGATCCAAGAGATAATGTTAGCTCTAACTAGAAGAGAAAATACCTAACATTTTTAAGAGACTGTTTTCCCACACTTCAAATATTGTTTTAATTGTTGTTTTATTTTCTCCATATCAAGGTTAAACAAAACAACAAGAACATTTTATTCCATAAGCTTCCTCTTACATAACCCTAGAAGGTAAAAGAAAGCATACTACCAAGCATGAAATATTATTTTTTACCAAACCATAAGACAGCTACTTAAAAAAAAAATGTCTACCTGGCACTGACATTAAAACAGGAAGGCAGGGAATACCAACCAGAACCTGTGGTTAGAGGTAGTTAAAATGGGAATATGTCCCAAAGGAAACCTTTCTGTTCTGTCAAAGTTTATGGGGCACTTCATCATTAAATATCCTCACCATTCTTACAGAGACAATTGAAGGGAGAAAAACTATTTTTTACTTAAGCAGAGTAAAAAAACCTCTCCTTCTAAATGCTTTAATCACAAGAGAGATGCAATGCTCACAGATCAAATTTCATTATGAAAATAACCAGTTAGAACTAATTTAGACATTAAGAAAATGTCCAAAATTTAGTTGATGTTCTCAGTAAAAGAGATAAACCAAACCAAGTAGGTCAGCTAAATCATTCAGAAGTTCCTATTTTTAAAAAATCTAGCTTATTTATTGATACATTTATTTTAGATTTAACTGGATAAAACATGCCCCTGGAAAATGAATCATTATTTCAATCTATAATGTTTAGTCTTCAATATTATGAGATAGAAATATTTCACAGCTTAATAGCAAAGTACTATTATTAAAAAGCATCTTAAACTTGGTAGCATTTAACATTGATGACAATAGTAATTAGCTATTTTAATATGGTTTTCAAATTTTTAAAAATATTTTAATTGAGGGTCTAACAGAGAGAGGCTGTAGAGGCTATTACGGGGTACTGCTCTAGCTAAGTGGATCTGAAACGGTCCCTTCTACGGCAAGCAGGCTTTCTTCCCTGATTTCCCCAAGATTAACCTTATTCATGACTGAGTGCTACAGTTTAATTCTGAATTACTCAGTTGCACGCAGTGGGAATTAAATATAGAGAATGTTTTACAAAATATTTTTATTAGTATTTTAGCCCTAAAGCAGTAGAGGGCATTTGAAGTACTTACCATCAGCACTTTATCCATATAGAATTCTCTGCCAGGGCTCCCATCATTGTATTTTGTATCAATGGCAAAACACAAGAATAATACATCCACTACCATTTCGTAAATGGACAGAAAGCAATGAGCGACTAGGAAAGCAAAGAGGCAGACGATGATCAGAGGCAGCACCCATACTGTGTAATCCTGCTGGTAGTTGAGCAGCATAATCCCAGCCAGGCCAGTGCTGCAGACTATCAGCACCTGAAGCAGAGAGAACAAAGACCACAGTTAGTATCCTACGGTACAAAACCTCTATTTCTGCATCGTTTGCAGACTTAAAATTCTCTTTACTATTTATAAATAAATGATGGTTACATGAGGCCATTTCATCTCGAATTAGGAAATACAATCCATATATACACATACACACAACAGAGTTAAACACCTATATCATATAATAAAAATTTAAAAATCATACTTTACATTAAAAATAATTAAGTTTTCTAAATGTTATGCTGCTTCCTAAAACTTCACTAATTTAGACTCTGTGGCAACTTTTAAGATAAATGTATGCATATTTTAGGAAAAATTACACACACACTCTTAGCACTCAAAAAAAAA